AATCTATATGTTACTTGCTGGGGAAGAGATCTTTAGGGGGAATAAAAATCGTGCCACAGGCCTGCACAGAGTTGGAGCAAGTGCACAAGCTAAAGCACCATTCAGGTCACCCATCACAATGGATAAAATCAGGAGCTAATTTTGAAATGAGAATTTATTTGGATGAATAAATGCATTTCTAAACACTATGAGAGAGTGCACCTTCTATTACCAAACAAAATCCACTTAAAAAATCTACCATAATATGAAAAAGCCATTAGTACATTTTCCTTGTAATTTGTACAAATTTATTTGGATGAATAAATTCTCCATGCAACAACTTTTCTGCCTAACTCCCAAACAGGTTTTGGCCACATGAAACAGTATCCAAATTCATGCTAAATTCAGTGGCTTATGTTCTTACATTCTAGATAATATTTTGCTACTGTATTTTTTCCCATTACAATTAAAATATTTTTCAATGTTCTAAAAGGCATGATACAGTCAATAAAATACATGAATCAAACTTTCATGTTGGGTCACAGGATACATCAATTCAAATGGAAAAGATCTGGGTTTGAAATTAAAGCTTTCTGAAAATTTTCAATCTCATTTTGTTCAGTTTATCCGCAAGTTACTCTTCATTTTCTCACCTTTCTGTGTTGGTCATTTATACAGCTCAGCTTAGTGACAGAAAGAACCCAGATGCATTTCTAAACATTATGAGAGAGTGCACCTTCTATTACCAAACAAAATCCACTTAAAAAAATCTACCATAATATGAAAAAGCCATTAGTACATTTTCATTGTAATTTGTACAAATGCAGTTGCACTTTAGTGTGAAAGAAGACAACAATAAAAACAGAATAAGGCCAACCTAAATAAGACAGTCATTTTCTAATTTTCTGCAGAGGAAATACTAAGTTTTTCTCAGCTGCGATTCTTGTATCGTTTTTCAAAGGCATTGTATTGCAGTGCACAGGGCACTGTCACTGGCTGTGTCTGGTGTGAAAGAGGACAGCCACCCTCTGTAACTGTGAAAGGCTTGGATATCTGGGTTAGAACACTAGAGAAAGTATCAGTCACAGACATTCAACAGAGCAGTTGACTTTCTAGCCACTCCTTGGAGACAAGAACCATTACTCTGGAAATACAAATATCACAACATTACCCTAGATTTTGATCTCATGAAAGGAAATCCCACACTGCACTTGAGGAAATCTGACTCCAGCAACTCACAGGCAATGCCCAGTTCCTCCTGTAAGAAAATACAAGACCATGAGATGATAGATTTGCAGATAAAAAGAGGATTACTGAGAAATACCATTGTGATGAAGTATTGTAGAAAACTAAACATTTCCCACCATAGCACTGTTGCACTTCCTTACTTCACCTCAGTTGGACCAGCACTGGGAAGATTACAACCATCAGAACTTTGCTCTGAGAGATAGATCACAAGGAAATACTGCGTGACTAAACACAGTAGAGCCAGGGGATCAGCTCAAATTCTTGGATAACTCAGACCATCTTTAGTAAGACAGTGGTGGCATAGATAAAGTAGAGGGACACTGTCAATAATTCAAATGCAAAAGGTTAGAGCATCCCTATCCTGCTTCACTGGTGACTCCACTACAACAGAAATACTTCTGTTGAATGAAGAGTGGTTCATTGCTCCATAAAATAACTATCGGGCTCCAGGTCAGCACATTCACATTTCTAAATTGCCATGGAATAGTTTAATACTTTGCCACTGTGGGCAAGTTCATCTCACTAAAGTTTAGGAGTGGGATTCAGCTCTGGAATCTGATATACACTTATAAGTGCCTACACAGCAAGTGATTGCTATGTGATATAGATGTCACAGCTCCCATTGTATTCAAAGGATGTAGAAAACAGTGTAGCAGACCAAATGCAGGTGTGTAAGGTTGGATAAGCACTCTAAGCCCTACTGTTGACTAGATTATCACTGGAACTATAGTATTGATGGTATGCAGCTACAGTACAAACACCTAAAATTTAGACATCTGAATCAATAAATCAACTTCATTCTAGACATATAGCTGAGAAACTCTTAGCTACAGGACATATGATTTATATGATCTATTTTCATTACTTACAGCAGTTTGCAAAGACCAGACTGTCTCCTTATGTACATTTCCCAAATTACTTCAAATATGAGTTCTGCTTTCAAAGTTACAGGAGTACCTGCACTTAAAAGTTACAGGAGTGGCATGCACAGCTGGAACAAGCACATGTGGAATTAGCTTCCTGAACCATGGACTCAGGTTATAAGCATCGCCAGGAAATGCCTCTCTGCCCTATGCACATTAGTGCTCTACAGACATTATTACTATTATAATTATGAGTCTAACTGCATTCAGATTCAGGACCTTTGAATTGTTTCCTGTGATATCTGAAAGATAAGATCTCCTTCGCCTTCAAAATCATGGTTCAAATCAGGACACATATGTCCATAAAATGGTAGACTAAATGCTACCTTTCTTACCTGACTCAGACAATATTTCACTGGTTTCATGAAAAGCAAAAGTAATGTAGGAAGAAAATCAATGCACACCTGGAGATGCCCAATGGAGTGATATTACTGCAGTCCTACTAAAGTGCCAGAGTAGTGGACTCCTCCTACAGTTTCTCTATGCATTTGTTGCTTCTGCTTCTATTTCCAGAAATAGAAAAGATGGCACTGCCTAGCAAATCAAATATCTATCTCCAGTAGTACAGAGATGCCATCCTTATTTGATGTGTTATACTTTCTCCTCCATTTAACACAAAACAGACAAGCAAGTGCTCCATGGTTGAAGCATCCCCTTCACTTGCCTTTTCCTCTCAGCAATCTGGGAGGCTCTCCAGTTTTATGTGAGTGACCAAGTGAACACAAACTCTGAGCATCTGCATATCCAAATGAAAAATTTCACAGCTGCTTCCTCTGGGAACATTCTTGGTTCTGGGTTGTTCAAATGTCCCTTGCTAACGGGGGCAACCTATGAACCCTCATCAACTCCCAGCCACTGTTCATTCAAGATGGGTTTCTAATTACATAGCTGTCTGGTGGTGACAGTGACCAGACAGACCCAAGAGGCTTCCTCCTCTCCTCAAGGCCATATCCCTGCACAGATGTCAAAGAACAAGATAACAGAAAGAACTCTGATTTTGATAATGGAAGAAGTGCACTCCTTCTTAATTTGCACATTGGTGCCTTTGTAGCCCTGACAACTGGCAGGCAGATGCCAGTGGTTTTATACTTGCCTGTAAGGAAATGACAGAAAACATTGCATTGACTGGTTTTGCTGTTGTTGCCTGGAACAGTGTAACGGATACAGTAAGATCAACTTGAACCACTATCTGGCTTCATTAGCATATCATTCAGTTTAATGATTTATATTAATACAACATTATTGAAGTTCAGAGTGGACAGTAGGAAAAGCTTCTTCCCTCAGAGGGTGGTCAGTCACTGAAGCAGGCTCTCCAGGAAACTGGTCAGGTAAAGTTTCAAAAGGATGTGCTGGCTACAGCTCTAACTGATTTTTTAAATAAAATCATGCCAAAACAGAAAGTTATATTACTTTCTGAACTTAGGATAACTTCTGTACTGCTCCAAATACTGTTGATTATCTGTGACAGAGTTCACTTCATACTTTTAAATATTCTTCTGATTTTCCATTATTTTTTAATTTTTTGATCAGAACCACCAATTAAAGGCACTGGAAATATCTTAATTGTGGAATTGTAAATATAATTAGTATATTTTTTTAGAAGGAAAACAAAAACCAACTCGTTGGAAAATGCATTTACCAGCAGTTTATATTCCTCTTTCCTTAGCTATTCAAATTAAAGTTTTTTATTGTTGTTTAGATTGAAAAAAAAATTCCCTTGCAGATCTTGGCTATTAGCACATATACTCTGCAACAGACAAGAAAATGTCCTGGAAGCCTTGATAACATGCTGGCAGAACACTCCTGTTTTGAAGATGTTGAGATTTTACTTAACTTGTTAGGATTTTTTTTGTCATGCTGCATGTTTTCCAAAGGATACAAAAGCAGAATGACTAGAGTGAATAACTGAGGAACCCTGCATTTGTTGTCAGAGCACACAGTCTTCTTAGTGCTTTCCTTGCTGTTATTAGTTCTTTTGTTCTATGATGCCTGTCTGTGAAACATTGCACTTGACACTACAGGGGATCATGAACAGTATCCTCATTCAAGAAGTCCTAAAACAAGTATGTTAAGAAAATACCACAAAGGAGGGGTACTTGCACTGTCCACTTCATGCTATGCTAGGTCTCAAAAGTAGGTACTATGTATCTACCTCCTATATGCTCTCCTGGATAGAGACTATAACTAACTCTCCCCAGTAGTTATTTGGAAATTCTCTGACCTGCACCAAAGCTTACAATGAACACTGGGAAAATTTGCTAAATGTGTTGGGGTTTTATTCTCATAATGGACCCTGACTTAAAGCACATACTTATACCTCAATAATTCCAACTTGAACTTTTCATGAGGAGGGTCATTTTCCCAAATGAGAGTTTAGATGAACATCTGGATGTTTTGTTCTACCCAACAGGACAATTATATAGCCCTGACCTGCATTTTAAAAGCTTCTTACTTTTGGGAGGTATCACTGAACATATGTCTGTTCACAGCTGGTAATCTGCTTCCTACACACTTAGCTAGCAAAGCCTGGTAGGACAAACACCTCTCATGTCAGGAGCCTGACATAAAGGCTCACCTCTTTGATGATGTTTGAGGTGGCTTCTCCAAATCACTCTTCCTAATCATGACCTAAGCCCTTCAGTAGTGCTATCAACAACTTGTGGGTTTCCCTAGGCTTTGGAGAGCAGAATTTTCATTTTGCTCCTACCCTTATCTTTCCCTGCCTCACAATTCTCTTAGTGCCTTAACTGAGGCTAAGAGGATATGAAGATGTGCCAATTAATTTAACAGCCACCTCCTGAGTTAACTAATGTACTTTCTTTCCACAGCAACTGAGTGCAGGTCACAGTTACCTACATGTGCAGTACAATTAGGGATGCCCGAGCTCACGAAAGCTTAGGAATTTTTTTCAAGTAAAAAGTCTGGCTCAGATGAGAACAAGTACAGCTCAGAGTAATTTAATCTTGGAGGCCCCCTCTTGTGCATAGATTCAATACAAAATTCCTCACATACCACACTTTCCTCCAAAATAGAGCTTTGCTGGATATTTTAAAACTGCAACAACACAAAGAGGATTCGTTGTGTTACTGACTGGGAACTTTTCCTGGTGTCGTACAATAATTCAAGTAAAAATCATCTGAAATGACTGAAATGGTGGGTCTGATCTACCTTACATACCTCTTAAAAGTTGCTCTGATTATCATCTTGATATCATCATATTAAAAGCCCTTTGGGTCTCTGGTAACTAGCAGTCTGATGTCTGCTTTGTCTCTTTGTCAGCAGTACTCCCTGTTAGCCGAGCAGTTAGTATTTCCTCTGTATTTCTGGGCTGAACTCTGCCAGGCACAGACCTTTCCCAACCCCATCAGCCCACAGCAAATGCCAAAGGCATCAGCAACTTGCTTACATTTGGAAACCTCAGCATCTCACAAACTGAGCCCACAGTTTTGGGGTTTGGTTTTCCTTTTTTTGCTCAATTGTTTCAGGAGTTCTAAATGCACAAAGAATCCAAGCACTCACTGCCATCAATGAGCAGCTCTCTCAACACTGCACAACCTGGGGATTGCGCAGGGGGAAGCATAAGGAGAGCTGTGCATGGTGTCAGGATGCACTGCTTCTTCGAGGCCAGCCTCACAGGCAGCAGTGCTGGCACATGGTGGTGGCACTGGGCCACCTGGGAAGGCCACATGGGCTCTCATGAGTTGCAAGTGTACACTGCAAGCTGGGGAAGAAGCAATCCTGTTACTGGATAGTGGCTTTGAAGATGGACTGCAGTGGTCGGCACATGTGGCCATGGCTTTAAAAGCAATCATGTGTCTAGGAAAAATTCTCATCTGCATTTCAGGGAATTTCTGCTCTCAGAGTGAAAAATCTCATGAGATTATTCCATTTTATGATATATAGTTTACTTGGCAACTTTAAGCAAATACTTTGTGTTCAGAAACTCTTCTATGTACAGCTCCCCATGTGCCAAAGCAAAGTGTATGACAGAATCACTCATAAGGAGGAAAAAGATGTTTGTGATGGAAATAAATTAAGATGGCTTTACTCTTTTAACAGAACAGCTCTGGAGCTCAAGCTTCACACA